CCCCAAAACCCCAAAACCCCAAAACCCCAAAACCCCAAAACCCCAGCACTCTGTAAAGTGTTGAAATACAGTCTTGTAGATCAGATTTGTGTAAGAATTGCCCTGAATTAACTTAATTTCTGTTATCCAATGCATCTTTAGCAATATCCAAATATATCACCTTTGTTTGGAGACTCTCTGCTTAAAGTGTCTTACATCTTTACACAAACAAAGACTGAAATCATTGCTTCTTGGAATTCCAAAAGAAATTGAATAGTTTTAGGAATGAGTAAGTAGGTGTGGAACTTTGCTCTAGAAGCATATATTATTATTCCTTCTTGTGGCTGACTTATATATGTTTAGCTGATCTGCCTGACCTTGAAAAGCCACCAAAAGCCTAATCATGAATACTAGGCTAAAATCTTTAAATGTTCTAGAGAATAGTTTGAGTAGAGAAGTTGCATTCATGAATGAATTTGTGTCATACTCTATCAAAAATCTAATTTCTTCAACCTAAAATGATTCAAGTTATTAATAGAATATTTTAATACTAATAAGCTTTAGGCCTCTTGAGATTCAAGTAAGATAGCTCAGCCAGAGTCTTTGATATTGGTCTTTTCAAGGAAAATATTAAAAATAATTAAAAATCTAAGATGGCTGTTAGAGAAGTTTGTTATATTTATGGAAAAATATTTCAAATACTAATTCAAAATTTCTACTATGAATCTGGACAAAACCAATCTGTAATCTGTGACCTGATGTATCAACTTGTACTAAGTATGGAGCTCATGCAAACATTATCAAAAAAAATCTGTAACTAAATTATAGCTAAAACTCTTTGAAGGATTGATCCTCCCTCGTTTCCACTCAATTGTTTAAAGCTTCTAGACAAATTCTTTGCTCAAAAAGAGCCAATAAGTTTATTTGATTACTGAACAAGTGACTTCAAATTTTAAAGCAAATTTTCTGAAAGTTTCTATATGGTTGCAGCCCATTGCTAACACTCTTCTAATATGTTGATCTTTACTCTCTAAAGAAGGCTGAAGAAAGATGCGACCATTACTTTACAATTTTAACAAACCTTCTATAAATTTAGGTTCTAAAAATTGTCCAATATCTTCACAGCTTCTTCTGTCTCATAATTTTTGGGTTGAGTTTTAGTTTAACTTTATAACTTCCTAATCAGACTAAGAAACTTAAAATAATATGAATTTTAGCGGTAAGATTAGGGAATATTAAAGTTTAAGACAATTATGAGATAAATCAAATTTCTCTTGCTCATAATTCAGTGCTAGTGGCCCTTCTTAGGGTGACGATCTGATGATATAAAATTCCTATACAGACATGAGAGGGCTTATTGTTTCAATTTCTTTCAGAGTCTTGACTAGTTTTCCTCAAATTTTTTCGAACATTTAACAGCCCTACAGATAATCATTTATTTCTCTGCACTGGTATGGGCTATATTTTACATCTTAAATTCTCTTGCTTTGTCTATCTCAACCGTTTCAATCTTCATTTGAAAGTTGGTTTGGGCAAACGTGGATACATAAAAGAATTTTTTTGATCATTTTAGAATAATTTAATATCTAATAACAAAATAAGTGATGGAACCCTCGAAGGATTATGACTTTTTTGAACTCTCTAATGAAGAAGACAAACTCGACCCAATGTTCGAAGCAAACCTATTTGAAGGTTGCAACTACACTGAGGAGTTTATAACTTCCAAACGTCAAGATCCAACAGAGATCATTGCCAAGAAGATTAAAGCTGAAAGACTTAATGATGACTTTAAACTAGGATTTAGCCTAAGCGAAGAAATGCAGGATATTAAGTATGACTTTACTGAGTCTACTTTAAATCAAGATGGATGTCCTGTTTTCATAATCAACCCTGAAAAAGTCAATTCCTCTGGATCAGAGATCTCTTCAAAGATACGTAGTAGTGAAGCCTCAGAAGCTCATATCTCAAACATTGTGAATCCAAAGATGGATGAAAAAGCAAAAAGAAAACCTATTTCTCGACAGCCTTCTCAAGAAGTGCCGATGGAAATAACCAAGTTCGACAAAGGAGAAAGATTCTCCAAGAAAAATGATGCAGGTAAGCCATGTTTAGAATGCTCGAGAGGTTCTATAATCCAAATATCAATTTAGTATTTGAATTTCATACTTAATAACTATCAATTAGGTTTACTTCAGAAAGAAATTTTGAGCAAGCTCTTTTAAAAAATGAGTAGCCTGAGAAATGAGTCCCGCTGCTAGGTTAACCTAAATCATATTATAAACTACTAAACCTTCTGGAATAATGAGCAAAAGTTGTGTTTTTAATAATCGAAATAAAGAGTTTAACACCCCATTGGAAAAATAAGTTATCTGATAATTTATCAAAAGCTATTAGCTTAAGAAAAATAGCTTTGGAAGCTACTAAAGAGTGTTTATTACGTCCCAGATGGATGAAGTACCTACATATACGCTTACCTTCACTTTGGAAAGATCGTGGTTACTTTTTAGAAATTATTACCTTAAACTCTCGTTTTTTATTGTTGATATATAGATATATTCAAAATTCTGAAAAAATTATGACAGAGAAGAGGAATTTCAATTGACAATTTTTGGAAAGATGATCTCCCACTTCCAAAACCTGAAGTCTCTGTACTTTTAGAACTCTCTATCTGAATTGGGTGGAAGAGGAACAGGAAAATGGATTTGTTGAAGAGAATTAGAAGAACCGGCCGCAGAAAGGACTTCACCGTTAGGGAAACAAAGTTCCTAATGAGGTTAATGAAGAAAGAGAAACTCAAGGAAACCCCAGATTATGAGGCTGTCCTTGAAAATTTCCCTGGTAAAACACTTGAAGGCCTTATAAAAACATATAATGAAGCCAAAGAGAACATTCCTCCATCCCAACAAGTACTTAATGGAGTCTCAAATAACAAATAAAATTAAACTAAAGCTGGCAATAGTTTCAATATTCCAACTGTCAACAGGGGTTTTGGGGTTTTGGGGTTTTGGGGTTTTGGGG